CCTTCTGGAAAGTTTGTTCCGAACACTGTTTTTAATAAACACCTAGTTTTTAGGCCAGCTTCCTAGAGCAGACCGAGACATTTACAAGCCACTGCCAATTATGAATAACTTCAATAAGCACTAAAATTGTACTTTTGAATTAATCGGACTAAGACAGAATATTTAATATTTCGTCAGAAAAGGGTGTGCGATAGACTTACCTCCACGTGCACCCTGGACAACGTATACTCATACGGCAAAAAAGTCGATTAACCGGCAGTTGACTTCTGACTTCAAACTACCATGACCTCACTGTATGTCATGTTCGAACCCTTCCAAAGTATTCATCTTACATTTTCTCTGCCGTTGTGTCAGTCTATCTGTCTCTTTTACATCTGTAAATCATTATTCTGTCCCCCCGTCTCGACTTTTTGTCATTTTGATGCTCCCCCTCCTCTTTGTGAAGCCCGAAGTCAGGTAAAAAGCCAATGATAACTATCAAAACGCCTGCCATTCGAAATAAATATTTCGTCAGAAAAGTTCCCTTTTACATTTGACAATTCGAGGGGCAAAGCCAAATATATCGAAAATACAAACTGGCGCAACAACGACATCAGTGTGTAACACAGAGCGAGTTCGACTTACCCAGGCACCAGGACATAAACTCTCATACGTTTTCCGTAAGGACCGACACTGGGGAACCTTCAGGGTCTCCTCGGGTTCATCCGGAACTTTCGTGACATCTGCGTAAGCCTCTTTGATACAAGACCAAAAGGCATCCCGAGCCTGCCAACAAGCCTCCCGTTCTTCTCTAGTCGGCGCGAAATCTTTGAACTTCATTGCCTATTTTTAAAAATAGATTAGACAATGCATAGATCCATTCGCAATAACCAATCAATCAATGATCAAATAGGCACTAATTAGAAGCCGTTAGTAAGAAGTACGAAGAACAAAAATTTGGAATCAGTCAATCTAAACATTCAAACAAAAAGAAGTCGCAAAAGCGAAAGAGCGACACAAGGAAGCAAATTTATTTATTGCCTGTTTATACATAGGGTTGAAGTCGGGGAGCCAAGCACAAACAGGCCTCTTGTCTTGGCTTTACTTGGTGAAGGCAATAGGGCATTTATATTCTAAAATCGAAAGAGGGTTATTCAGAGGGTAAAAAATTGAAATGGAGAATCTTGAGGAGTTTTACCTTTTGACAATCTGAACGACGTCTTCGTCGTCGACAACGTGATCCTTTCCGACTCTCTGTGGTTGATGTTTTACTGATGAACCCCAAACAATCGCGCTAAAATCAAACCAACGTGATGTAGACTTTACTCACTACTAAAATGGAATTAAGGAACAAATTCAAAACACCATAACTAATATTAGGCGAATATAATGAAAGCCATAGTATTACTGCAGAAAAAGATAAATTTTGAGAAATAAAAAATGCAGCATTACGGAGTAAATGCGATGACCTTCAACTAAAGGAATGAAATAGACCAAGTAACATTATATTCTGAACATCAATCAAGGGCTAAAAGCAAGTGAAACCAAAGGAGACGAGTCAAAAAGTATTGATGTGATCAAACAATATATAACCAATTCTTCAATAAGGCAATAGCAGAGGAAAAAATGCAATTTAAGGTTTAAAGGAGAGCATTGGTAAATCCAGAACCCAGGCGAACTATCTCCTAATGATTACTTTAGCTCTATGTTCCGTCAGTACAAGTTCTCAAACGCATTTCCACGAATACGACAACATAATTACTTTGCAGTTGGGAATAATCATATCTACAAGCCAAACTACGTAATCAACCGCACCGAGGGCTTAGTTTAATCAGACGCACGAAAGGGATGTAAAAAATTCCATCTGCCACAAAAATAGAAACGTACTATTTAAATTCCTTGATAATGCTTCGATGAATCTTATTACAGAAATCCTCAATAGTATGGGCAAAGGATTTGAGAATAACCGGAGATGAGTAATCAGGTAGTTGACCCTTTGGTTTAGTGTAAATTCGAATAAGGCTTAGATAATCCCACATCTTCTCCAGCAGCTCGTCAAAGTTCCACTTGTGATGGGCTGAGATTGGAACGCAATGTGGCACTCTAGAAAAAAATAAAACTATATTAGCTACTTATATCAAGTAAGTAGAAAATGAAAGTTTGAATACTTACTTGCAAATTATGTCGAGTTCTTCGATCGAGATTTGGTCGATTTTGTTGAGAACATAAATGCAGGGTATGTAGACTCGATTTCCCTCAATAACATCAATCAAATCTTCTGCTGAAGCATCACATTTAAAGGTGACATCGGCATTATGGATTTTATATTCGTTGAGAATTGTTTTAACTGTCTCCTTGTCCAACTCAGTGAGTGGTACAAGTGATTGAAAGTTAATGCCACCTTTGTCCTTCTTGCGGAAGGAGATATTTGGAGGCTGCTTGTTCAGCCGAATACCGAAGCCCTCCAATTCGTGCTCCAATAGACGTTTGTGTTGGAGCGGTTTTAGAACATCCAAAACCATCAAAATCAAAGAGCAGGTTCTGGCAACAGCAATAACCTAAAATGGCATGAGAAAAGGCAATGTGAATCGAAAACTTATATTCACGGAAAATGGATAGTTACCTAAATATAAAATAAAAAAAGATAGGGATTACCATCCAGCCCAACAGGTTTTTAAGATGCAAGTTATACGGTGCCAAACCAATAAAACTAATTGAGAAAAGTAGCATTTAAAGATCACTCTAACCTAAAGGACAAAAATTTCGAAATGAAGTGATTTTTAGAAAGATTATCAAATAAAAGTAGAGTAGATTTGCCTATAAGGTTTGAAAACAATTGGCATGCCGTGTATTCATGGCCAATCGAGCGACCAGTTTCAGATGAGTTTAAAAGAATATTAGATTGTAGAAAATTAAACAAACGATCAATCATTTTAATGACTTGCTAATACCACGAATTCATATAACAATGAATTTCAACAATGGAAGAAATTGAGGAATGCTTCCCGATCAACATGAAGGAAATCAAACGGTTTCCAAGGCGGAGCAGACCACACACAGAAACCTACAAATATTAAGTCATCGTGATAACAAGATGACGTAAATATTCGCTTGATATAAGGCTTAGAATCACAGAGCTCCTTGTTATAAAGAGAATGCAAGGATATCGTCATAGATAATTACCCCAAAATCACAATATTGTACTGACAAAGTCACGATGTACGAATGACGAAGAAAACATCAAATGAAAATTTAGAACCAACCAAAAATCTAACTTAGAATAAAAAGAAAATGCCGATATGGTGTAAATATTGGGCTCGAAATGGTAAAGATAAGAATTACCAATCGAAATCCAAATACAAAGACATGGCAAGTACCTTAGTTATACTAAGGCTACAAATAAACGTGCTTAATAAATGATTTACCAATACTTCAAAATTATTAACGATCAAATTGAACAAACTACCTGTTTGCCACGACCCTTTCCGTCTTTAGCACCTTCGATAATACCAGGCAAATCAAGAAGTTGAATTTTAGCTCCCTTATAACGAATAACACCAGGAACCGTTGTAAGGGTGGTGAATTCATAGGCGGCAACTTCAGAATAGACACCGGCTAAGTTGGTTAGAAGTGTGGATTTGCCTACAGAAGGGAAACCGACAAAACCGACGCGAGCATCACCAGTTTTGGCGACATCAAAGCCTTCGCCGCCGCCACCACCGCCACCTCCTTTTGGCTCAATGAGCTCTCGACGAAGCTTCGCCAAACGAGCTTTGAGAAGACCGATATGACCCATAGTCGCTTTATTTTTTTGCGTACGGGCCATCTAAAAGAATAAATATTTGGCAATAACGCGCGTGCCATTATTACATAAACTTCAAAGTAGTTTGTTCTTTAGAAGATAAAATAAATTTATTCGAACCTCGGCCTCAATCTCAGCAATCTTCTGCAGGATGCTCATGTCCCAACCCACTTATGACAAAGTGATATTTGGAGTCCTGACACGCGATGTGAAGCATCTCCCGTCATATGAAACTACATTATAATTTGCTTAAATTTCCATATTAAATTCAAATAATATTTAAATTTTCCACCTTAAATAATTTAGCAAAACATTATTTTATTTTATATGAAATACAAGGCTTGAATTCTTCAATGACCTTGTGGCACGGCTCTCGTCTTGTTAGCATAAACTAACATGAGTGGCTTTTGCTTGGGTAAATCGCCATGTTACCATTGGCTTTAAATATTGTCACTTACAGTATGTTATCTCATTTTCTGTATTCTTTTGCCTTTTCTCTGTTTACAGACATCATTATTATTTAAAACCACGATGCCTTCGAAAAGGAAGAAAATTAAAGACTCTATCATTCCTCCTCTAGACTTTGTTGGCTCACTGCCTTCTGAAAAGATTCCTATTAACGATGAATATATTCCCTGTACAGCGAATTACCCAAGAGTCCGAACTATTGCCTCAGAGAATCAGCCTCCTTGGGTTAGTATAATGTAAATTTGGTGTCAAATTGTTAATATTCCCTTCTAGATTAGGCCTCATTTTGATTACTCCGGTTTCGTCAAACAACCTTCTCAATCTGTCCGTGCTTTCAAAGATGATATTCCTCCACCACGAAAGAGGAAAAGCAAAAGTATAATCGGTCCTTTGAATTTTTCCTCTGACGGCACTCCTACTAAAGTGAAAAGTTTTAGGACCTTTAAGGTAGTTCTATATAGTTTGTACCCGAATTTCACCCGTGTTATGCGATCTCTTTAGTTTTGTACTATTTTAGGGTCCTTTTCTTATCACTTATAATTTGGATGCGCTCTGAAATTCCCATCTTATTTGTCTTTATATAAGTTTCTACTTTTGTTCCTCCTGGGAATGCTATTTATCCTTTATGTGTTTTTTTATGAGGGACTGTTATATTACCCCACACCTTAAGTGTTAAAAGGCGTAATCACGCTATGAAGTCGTTTGAGCTCAAGCATTATTTCAGTCGTATTTCAGCCTTCCATAATGGACATATGCCATTCCACTGTAAAGTCCTCTTTCTTGTCAATTCAGATTTTAAAACTCCCTATCTATCACCTTTCATTTCTCGGAACTTATTTGAACCTCAAGTAAAGTTGAAGACATTCTGCTCTACTCCCAGTGTTGTTAATTGTTTCGGTCCGTGGCTTCGGGATGCTTTTGTTTTCATTAATATTTCACCTGATATGCGGAGATTTTTAAGATTTTTTGTTTATGCAAAAAATGTCTACACATTATTTTCTTCCTCATATTCATCTGTTTACATTTAATTACTTACCATAATCTGTATCAGGAAAAAAATTCGATCTGATATTATTTAAATCACCCAAATGCAGTAGGTGTGATAGGAATGGTGTTGAGCTGATAATAAGGTTACATTATTGTCTACGTTTTTGTGGAATTGTTCACCTTATAATTTATCGCACTACTTCATATTAAGTTCTGCCGGATTTTTTTTCTTGGTTGAATTCAGATCTTACTGGCCTGTTTTCTAGCTGGGATGTTTGGTCGCACAGTATTTTAACTTAACTGAATTCAGTAAAATTGTTCTCAATCAAAGCGTCAATTTAATCTCCATTATGGTCTTTCTTTCTCAGTAACGTCAGGGTTCGTGTGCTGAATTTTATTTAGATGGGCAATATTTACTGACGTAGATTCGGCCACGGTGTTTACCTGTCCTATTAGAAGTCTTATTTAAAATACTCTGTCTGTACTTATATTAGTAATCGAATTACTTTGGGTTTAGGTTGTACTTTTTTATTTTAGACTCAAGGAAACTGTCCACTTTTCCCTCTGGTCACTCCAGATCCGATTCGACGAGACGCAAAAATTTTGGTCCCAGAATCTCCAGAACGTTAGATGCTTTCTTTTAAACTATGCCTTGTATTTTAGTATTTATCGACGTATGACAATGTATTTTTGTAAGTGTGGATTTACTCACTATTTTATTGTAAATAAATGCTATTTATGTGAACACTGGTTGTTTGTTGAGATTGTCATGGCTTGTTCCACCATAACAGCTTCCAGTCGGGTATTTGCATAATGTGCAGGAAATTGGTGCCCATTTTTCGTCATACTGGTGAGGATTGTCCAGTGCACTCATCGTCTCTGATTTAGAAGACGGGCGTTGGAATTTCGGTTGCTTTCTCTCTATTCAAGTTAAGGATTAGCATCATACTTCATGGCAGTAGGGGTTTTGCCTTAAGATAGTGAGAATGGAAACTCCGGTTAAAAGCATTTTGCCCTATAATGCATGTTTGCCAAACTTAGGCAGGTATATTGGCTTAGGAAGGAGAAAGCGAGCAGCTTTTCCGGAAGTAATTTATTTTAACTTTCATGCTCACAATTCAGCTATGTAATCCATCTCTCCCTCCAGTAAGTCTCTCATTCCTTGCTTTGTTATTTTTAATTTGATAAGTCTTGCGGTCTACTCTCAGACTTTACGACCATTCATATAAGGCATCTTAGTCCTATTATAAAAACTGCTTTACCTGTTACGTTAGGAACAGAGATATGCTTTAACTTTCTCTAGTGGTATGGCTGAACTTTGTCAGATAATATTTTCTTATATATAACAATAGTCTAGAAAACATTCTTAGGCGTTGGGTAATTACAGAAATAGAATCACTTCGAAGACTAATTTTAATAACTCCAAATGCATGTTATTCTAGAACCTTATACTAGCAAGCAGAGATGATATAACTTGTAGCAGATTGCTAAACTAAGAAAAGCCTTGAATGACTAAGAAATCTCTGTGGCAGATTCTCCCATATCTAGCTAAACGCCCAGAACTAGCTGGGCTACAGCCCAGCTATAGAGAAAACAGGCGTATCGCACGGAACACGTTTATTTAGGAAGTTTAGTGGGGTAAGGGATGTGCGATAGATTAACCTCCACGTGGTGCACCCTGGGCAACGTATATCCATACGGCAAAAAAGTCTATTAACTGGCAGTTGACTTCTCACTTCAAACTACCATGACTCCACTGTATGTCATGTTCGACCACTTTCACAGTACTCACCTCACCTTTTTCCTACTTTTGTGTCTGTCTATGTTCTATCTGTTAATCATTATTCTGTCTCCCCTTTCGACTTTTTGTTACTTTGATGTTCCTCCTCCTCCCTGTGAAGCCCGAAGTCAGCTAAAAGGCTAATGATAACTATCAAAACGCCTGCCACTTGATGTAAAAAAAACTGTGGATAAAGTGTACACGCCGTAAGGTTAGGCATAACCAACATAGCAAGCGGAGGCTTCTTATTGGCCATTGGTTAAGCGCGTAAGCGATCACGCCGTAGGCGATGACGTGATCAATGAACTCCTCATCACGCACGTGTTAGCAGGGTTACATTTGTGCGTAATCAAATTTTAAATAATAAGGAAAATCGATGACATTATTATCAATTTTGTCTATTATCAACAGGCTAATAATTTCTTCACATTTGTCACAACTGATAAATCTGGCTGCTAGAAATTTATGAAACATAACTCTGGCAGATAGATCCTATACAAATAATACATAATTTGAGATCAATAGACTTTACAAGCACTAAGTTAATTTTATTTATAGAAATTGAACACAAAAATTGTTGGACGAATGAAGTATCTTTGTCAAAAAACAACTGATCAGTGTATCGAGAGCTCTTGGATAAATGGAATATTTGTTAATATATGTCAAATTTACAGGATGTTTCATAGCATAATTTTGGAATATGGCCTACCTCAAGCAAATTAAAGCATTTTTGTGGAACTGTGGAATTTGTCATCATTTCAGAGACTTAATTAGGTGATGAATTAGCATCCCAAAAGCGTATATACGGAAATTCATATAGCCGATGCACCATTTAATATATTTGTTTGTATACCCAAGTCAGTACTTTAGGTGCATTTGATCAAACGTAGTGATGGCAGTCAGTTAACTTAAATCCTCAAATACTTGACCAGCGATTTTCGGCCTTATTTACGCTGACTATCAAAATTGAGGAAACCACCACCACCAATGTTGAGAAACCAATTACCCGAGTAATAAAAAACCTGTATCGAAATCAATATAGGTATAAGTTTAAGTAACGAAATTGGACGATGAAGTCTTGAAAGACTTAATGCATGGGTTTATTTCATAAAATAAAATTCACTAACAACTGGCAAGTGAGTGTGTGGAGAAATGAACTCGTAGTTTGCATCAAAATTTATTTATGTTTCGAAAATGCTTGAGCTATAAAAGATTGAATGTATGAAGTAATTCCTCTTTGTTAATGGAAAAGATATTTAATAACTATGCGATGTTCAGTTTGTTAGCTAAATAACCAAACTTCTAGATTATACCTGATCGATAGCATATTATATGTCTTTAATACGAAATATTTAATTAAAAAATGATAAGTATTAATTAAGTAAAGTTATATTTATCAGTTCGATGATGATTTCTTTTTCGTCCATTAGTTAACGCATGAGGTTAGGAAAAAATACCTGATATCGTTACAAATAAATTTTCAACTCCAAAACTTTATATCAGTGGTTAGTATTTAGTAGTTGGAGTCATTATTTAGCATTTTTGATTTTTTATAAAACTTAATAAATGTTATTATTCATATTTTATGTAAATTATTTCGTATAGCCATCTCTCTGAAATGGCCTTGATTATTTTAACTTTCTGTAAAGCCACTATACTCTTTAAAAGCAGGACTTGTGTGTATTTGCCAATTTTTTATTTTCTTCAATTTTTCTCTCAGATATAAGCGGCCATGAGTGATTGTAGTGATACGTTCTATCAAATTATGTGTGATCGGTATTTTCCCAATTTTCTTTCTTTCGAAACCGCGTTACTTCGTTTGGAGCAGCGCACCGGAATGTCTTTCACTATCCGAGTAAGCAAGAAAATCAAGGAGCCTTATGACGATGCTGTACGATTTCGTTACCGCCGAATGAGATACATATGCAGTCTGGGTGGCAGCTCCCGAACAACACTGGCGAAACGTACGCATAAGTGTGGCTGCCCTGTTTATTTTGAGGTTGTGCTTAAGCCCACAGGACTGAAGGTGTCAAAATACAGTATGTTTCATTCCCATGCAGTTTCTCCAGATTGTGTTGTTTCCTCTGATGAAAGGGGGGTGTTAACTCCAGAAGAAGAGGAGTTTGTATGCAGTTTAATAAGTGAAAATGCGGACAATCAAAGAATTCGAAAACTTGTTCGCGGTAATTCGCGCTCTCTTATGTTTTATTATATTTTTTCATTTAAAGTAAAATAGTGTTTCTTTTAAATTTTAGGCAAATATGGGAAAGTGATATGCATGAAAGACTTAAATAGATTAAAACTGAAAAATCGAAACGTCAAGTTGGAAGCGCTCTGCTAATTGTATAAAATAAGTTGAGTTCTGTTATTTCCGCGTGTTTTACTTTTTAAATAATTGTATATTATGTTACTTATGGCTTGGACATCTTGTTTTTTGTATTTATAACATCTTTCCTTGTTGAATATTAATATTAATGGAATTATATGTACCTTTTGGCTTGATCAAGGTAATGACTTAAATCTACAGTCGATTCAACTTGTAGCGTTTTAGAGACTACAAGCAAATGAATATGTTATGAATATGTCCTGCCTAAATCCTACCTTTGTATACTGTGCCGACAATTTTTTCATGAACAAACGGACTTTCCTGGCTGAAAGAGGGAAAAGCAATTGTAGTCAGATTTTTCATATATTTTTTTCTGAAATCCCTTTCTATTTTAAGGCTTTTAAGCCTTACTGCTTTCAACGTCACAACTGTAGATTTAATAATTATAATTATAACCTCAATGGGCGAAAACTGTGTGAGTAACTATCGCTAGAACTATTACTCGTTTAAAATAGAAGTTGGCTCTACCTATTGTAAATATAGAAACAAGTTGAGTTCAACCAGTCGGTTGAGCCATATCAGTTGAGAGGTGGGGCGATACTTTTGGGAAATCAAATAATCGTTGGCAAGTGTAGGAAGCTTGACGTTGGGAATAAATTTGGAAATGAAATGGTAAGGTGCTATCCGCTCTGCAAAAGAGTAGAAGCGGACTCAGCAAATAATCTTGATAGGAACTGTTGAGCACTTGTCGGCACGGACGTGCCCTTTCTTTCATTTGACTAATGAGAAGCTTGTAAAATAGATATATTAGCAAATAGAATCTCATATCACTACTGTTAGGTTTTAAAAGTGCATTTTTTGTGTGTTTTCATTATGTCTACTAAAAATACACTGGGGTATGCGATAGACTTACCTCCACGTGGAGCAACCTGTGTAACGTATACTCATGCAGCAAAAAGTCTATAAACTGGCAGTTGACTTCTCACTTCAAACTACCATGGCTCCAATATATGTCAGTTTCGATCACTCCCATTGTACTCATCTTACCTTTTCTCTGACTTTGTGTCTGTCTGTCTCTTTTACATCTGTGAATTACTCTTCTGTTCCCTCTACCCACTTTTTGTGATTTTGATATTCCTCCCCTCCGTGAAGCACGAAGTCAGCTAAATGGATAATGCTAACTGTCATTTGAAATAAATAAATGAATAAACCAAAATGTACTTGTTCAAGCGGCCAAAGTGGGACAAGAATTTGTTTGGGAATAGCTGAAATGCTCGTGAAATGCGTATTTGGACGCAAATAGCTGTTGATAGAGGAGAGTCGTTCCTGTATCGTTGAGGATTATTTGACCTAACAACGGATATTGTTTTGGGTGGAATTATGAGATGCTAAGCACAGTGATGGCGACGTTCATGCCTGAAAAGGCCTATCGAAAGATTGTATTTGACACTTGCAATAAGGTTTAAGGTTGTTCGAGATGGGGCGTAGAAATATTTCTAGCATTAGGAATAGTGGAGTTTCGTTGCCATGGCAATTGTAAACAAACAACTTTCTGTATTACTAACTCAGAACTCTACTTTCTTTCTTTACCGATGCCAGAAATACACCTTAATGCGGCGAGTAATTGTTTTATCAGGAGATTTTAGGAATTGCTTTGTTCTCTTCATTTTTAAGTTATTCAACCCGGCACAATACCCTGTTGAATACGTATTTTGTAGTCTACTTAAATTATTTAAATAGTAAAGTTATGCTTTCTAACTTCTTGAACTACCACTATTTGTTTATATTTAAAAATAAACTTCTCAAATAGGTTTTGTGGAATAAACCGAAATCTAAAGACGATTTTTACTTGCAACATAAATTAGTGATGGACTATTTAAATTATTTGGTAACGTTATAGCACTTAATATTTTATTTTAAAATTTAATTGGCCGGGTCGGGGGAGTCATTCTCATTTTACTTCTATTTTTTAATTTCATTTCATTCTCTCATTTTGTGCATGGACTATATAACTACACGGGCCAAAATATTGCAATTTACAACTCGTTACCTATATCTATGTGCAAATCGTTTCACTTACAAAGTACAAGTCCCCGAAATCGTTAAGGACGTATTAGGAGTTGGATTGTGACGTTGGATATTATCTTTTCCAATAAAAGTTGTCTCATACTACCATCACTGCTCTAAGGACCCCGCGTAGTAATTAGAATGGGAATCGAGAGGAGAAAACCCTTCAACTTGTTCTTTATGTAGTTCACCTTGGTCATGATTAATCGAGCAACTACTTACGAGGTTTGGATTCACTTCAGTATCAGCGATAAGCTGTAGTCTAACCGAATTCTCAATGAGTCCTTCCATAGAGTTCGCAGAAAAATTACTCCTATTCCACCATTGTGAGTAATTTGACTATCAAAGCTAATTGGGGAAAAGTGATTTGGTGTTAAGCGATAGTTAGGAGTGGGTAGGTGGGGTTGTATGGATAAAGAGAGTAGGGAAAAACTTAGTGTATGAAAGGATGTCAGTAGTAATACAGTTGCGTTAGAAAATCTAATCAATTGCAGGACCAAGCTTAGATAGAATTTTAGTGGAAACCTGCAATCGCTGCTCATAATGGTCTACTATTTTCTGTGGAAATAGTCCGCGCATAATGAACTAGAATTCCAATTAAAACGGAGGTCTCATCATCGTTCTGATGGAAATATTATTTTCAATGCTAAGACATGTTTAAGTGGAAAACGTCTGCAAAAAAATGTCCACCATGTTTCAATAGTTAAACCCAACATATTTATAACAGATCGGATAAGAGGCGTTAGTGACTTAAATGGCCTGATGCCTTAGAGTTAATAAAGTTGATATTTTAGAAATAAGTTTCTCTAGAAACATTTTTTGACAGGGTATGCATAGTTCAATCTGATATCAAACCTATTGCAAATGTAGGCAGAAGATCATAAACTTGGTTTCTTATCTGTTACGAAAATGCTTAATTATTATAAACTAATCGGTTCACTAGTGACATTGTGGTGATGACGAGATGTCATTTCAGGCACCGAGAGATGAAAGCGCACTACTAATAACATGAGCACTATCTGTTCAGAGTAATGGGAGCTTTCGAAACTGTTCCTTAACGAGAACAATGGAGTCCGATTGAATTCCCAGAGGTTAAATAAAATCTTACCCGATTGTTATTAATCTAACTTGTTTTATTAGAGTGCCAAATAATATAAAATGTGGGGAAATACAAGGGATACATCGAAGCCAAAAGCTTACATACAGGCTTTAAGTTAATTATCAATTTCAGTAATACTCCTATTGCTAATTTGCTGTGGTGACTAGTACTTATTTAAAATCTTGTAAAATACGTACTAGAGTGTGGTTGCGCAACGTGCTAACATCCGTTTGCAGATAGGCGATTAAAGATCGCCAATCTCTTAGCGCCTATTGACTAAAAGGGGTAAACGTGCGCACCAGGTAACCCAGGAACACACACTCACCGTTTAAACGCACAGAAACTCATTCACATACATTAGCACATAGAATATTTTTCTGCAGAAGTGAACTCACTCAGTCATACTTACCCCACCCCAGCATGGCGTCTCCAAAGCCAAGTCACGAGAAGTCACCAAAAGTTTATCTCCGTAATGAAAGCTACACATCCACCATAACAGAACCATCATATATGACGCCATATTTAGGTACTCCAGTCACTTACAAACCTGGTGAGACTATAATCTACACTCGACAGCCGGCAACTATGCCTCGACATCAATATCAGTCCACTGAACCAACAAGTGAACAGCCCTTCTATGCGGATGAGTCTACTCTCCGAAGTGGGACATTCAGTGAAGCGTCTAATGATTCAAGAAGTCGGCATTCAAAAGTGAGTCAAAGAAATCGTAGTCGTCGTCATCATCATCATTATACTCACGGAAAACCGAAGATTGAAGATCCCGATGGATATTGGCAAGTGCCGCACAGCAACCATTCAACAATGTCAGGTCCCTATGTTACTCCAGGAGGTAGACACTTATCAAGGACTCCGAAAAAACACACTGCAGGAGTGCAGGTAGTAGGAATGGATCAAGTGATCGGTGGAAAAACTGGTAATCAAGGGGGATCATACAATGATATTACACAGGAACTTGAGGACTATATACAAACTTCTCAATACCTTCCTTCCGAGCGTTCTGATGTGAAAGTAAGTTGTATTTCAACAAATCTTTCGAAAGTGCAGTAGCAATTATTAAAAATATAAAAATATGATTAGTTTACTAGAATTGAGTAATGTTATCTGAAAATAGGGAAGTTATTACCTTAATATTGATGTATTTTTAATGAAATTAAAACTAAATATAGTTTCCTGAATAAATCAAGGCAACTTGTATTTATATTCACTGAAAACTCATTTATTATACCTAAAACTATTTTTCAATTAAAAATACAAATTAATTAAAAGTATAAGGTTCCTTTAAATTAGGGGTATAAAACCATTTTTGATGTCTCATTGACCTGATTAATAAATTTTGGTGGTAATGTTTAAATTTTTTTACTGTTCTGTCAATTCTGAGTGCACGCTTCTCTTAACGACCAGACAGATCATAGTTCGGGGTTTCAAAATACAAACTAGAATAAATATCTTCTATCTTAAAAGTGGATCTCGCGTATAATTGACTTAAAAGATAGGATTCGTTGGAACAGCACGCTTGCAGGTCTTTATGGAATTATATATAGACGGTAATGTCAGCTTTAAGACTGAAATCTATCCATTTTGCTTTCTTTTGGAGTTGGACCACTTAAATTGTGGGGCACTGGGCTGGTTTCGAAGGATTTTCCACTTTGAACCTCACTTCACTTGCACTAACATCGAATACGATGCTTCAAATTTTGAATGAAAAGGAGAGGTATGCCAATATACTGTTTGTGACGCCATTACCAGTATTAAAACGACCGTGTGAAATTCTCACGAATTTCTTCAATTCCGTGAACTTACTGCGATTAAGCCAGCGTGAAGAAAGCCCTGCTCACGTCGGTGCCATAGCATATCTTGGTAGACTGCTAGTTCAGGGCATACATATACACACACACACACACATATATATATATATATATATATATATATACATATATATATATATATATATTCACTTCAATTAAAAGTTGTTCCAGTGACAAAATAATAATCGAGATCAGTTGCTGAGGAGATTCTGAGCGATGAAACGCAATTCACAAATTTTTTCCCATCATCATGGAGTTAATGTCGAACTAGTCTTCGGCTTTACATATATAAGTAATATATGTGTATTTGTTCAATGATACTAGAGATCTAGGTCAGATAATTTTCGATTTCCGAAAAACCAAAGATCCTTTATTCGTGATTGAAATATTCCTATTTTTGTTAATAAAAATTCTATTCCACTTGATATTAAGAGAGTGATTTAAGACAGGCAATACTACATTAATAAAAATATTGTTGTAAGGTTTTTTGTTTAATGCGTCTTGCACCTCATTTCTATTATCGAAATCAAGAATATTTTTTATTTATTATTTAAACTATTTAACTTGGCGAAGTTGTGAAAACAGCCCATAAATCGATTATCATCCATGTAAACTGATGAAGTTATCAAGTCCTATATTTTTTAACAAAGTCATCATATTTTATCGCAACAAACCATTCGGAATTCACGTTTAACTGATATCTCCCCCCTCTCCCCACCGAGCCTCTTCTATATAAATGAATTATCTTCATCAACACTGTCTTCAAGTGTTCAATTTTAAGGCCAATGAACTTATGACCTTTTCACGTCATGAGACTGGTAGTAAAAATTCCTCAAAGTTAACTGAAATCAATCGAAATACACGGATATGGAGCAGAGTATTTGGAAAATGATCATTAAATGCGACATTTCCTTAAGTTGCTCATTCTACTTTCTAACCATCATCTCGCTGTCACTGCTCTGATGTTCGCACTCTGAGGCAACAGGCCAAATTCAGCTGTTTTACATTTATGCTAATTCGTTAGTCAGTAATCACCTAATAGCTCTCCGATGTGCTTATTCACAGGATCTCTCGTTTCGAGTTAAGGAACACACACGTAAAACGGGACAATTATCGAACAGTCTCTTCCTCAGATATGTGTATCTGGAAAGCCATTCTTTATTTAGTAGTGTGAATGCAACACAATGAGCGCATTCAAAGAATTATAAAATAATCTATTCTTAATAAGTCTTGAAAAATAAAACGATGAGTTCGTAAATACTCCTGTACACTTCACAGTTCTGATTATTAATTACGAATTAAATGGCCGCCCATCTTATAAGCAGTGAACATATCTACATGAAGGCGCCTTTAAAGTCTCTATTTGCAGATGATTGTGAATTAGCCTTGCATTTTCAGGTTCAAAGTTAATTGGCTTTCGCCTAAAAGTAGTTTCTGACATTTGGGACTGTTATAGCAAATCCCAGGAACAGAAATTATGTTCAATGAGGTAGGAAATGCGAGGGGTTACCAAGGAATGACTAAGAGTGCAGTTCAGTTTCTTGGATGAGATAGTTTTCCCTATGTTCAGATCCTGTCAACTGGTTGGCTTTTTCCGTTGTTAGTCGTGGCATTCCAACATACTCTTATTGACTTACAACCAATAGTGGGTTAGTTAACCGCCTCTTACAAACAATTGGATGCTGAATTTGAAAACTTCCAAATAAACGTCAGTAACCTTTTAATATATATATAGATTAATCTATGTCTTTTACTTGAAATTGGCATTATTAATTCGACGAGTAAATCAGTTTCAGAACATTAACTCTCAAAAAATGAAATAAAAGTGTTCAGTTTAATTTTGATCTCCCAATGTGTGGCGAAACCAACACATAAACTTACACTGGAGGGAAATAAAATAGGTGGAATCCGTAACCACCATTGAATTTGTTAGCAGTATTTTTTACATGTTGACTCCTCTTATATTTTTCCACATTTAGATAGCATTCCACTATGATCCAACGGCTGATATGGCGGCAAACTTTGGCGAAGAACTGCTTACACGTTTGCAAGCACAATGTCGAGCCCATCTCGCCAAGAAAAAATTTGTATGTTGTATTGTGTTTTAATGAACCTATAAAAATGAACGAGTTTCGTTAAACTATTAAAAATATTATTTTAAAATCGGGAAGATATATATATGTAAGGTAAGCAAATTGTACTGTGCAATAACAATGGAAATTCGAGAGGCGAAGAGAGGGACAGAGGGGAAGTGGGACGTGAAAGTTGAGGAGAACGTAAATTTAGCCTCTGCACATTCAGCCTCGATTCCCCTCCCCTGTGCCCACCGGTTTTTCAGATAACTTATGAATTATTCGGAAGATGCGAGTGAAAAGTCGACAATAAATTTTCCCCAACTGTCAATTCAAGCAAACGCAAAAGCGTACTTCCTGTCGGTTAAGGTAGATATTAGTGCGGGCGAAAATATCGATCCTTTAGCAAAAAATCCTCGACCATATCATAGATAAAATGGAGTCACACTTTTCCTTGAAACTGCGCAATAAAAGACGCCATTATTGTTTATAGGTATTCGGTTCTAAACAGAATCTATATTGCTTTTATTTGAAAAAGGTATTCTTAATAAAGGTATAATGCATCGAAAACGTTAGTTGCACAAGTACCACAGTAAAACATGTTTGCAAAGTAAAAAGTTTGAGACTTGGAAGGTTTGTGAGAAAACGAACTTTTAATTCGATATATCCACTCAAAAGCCCGTGCCGAATTCACCTCATTTTACCTCCATTACAAAATGGTTTCGGAAAAGCTCTTAATTTACAATTGGAAGATTTTATTCACCTGCAGTTGAGGACGAACACCAAATTATATAGCAGCTTAATCGGAGGGAATTCTGTATTAGTAAACAATGTGCATAATTACATTTGAAAAAGAGTTTTCCTAATGGTTTAAGCCTTAGTTAAATGGGATGATGATGGTATACTAAACCCGGGCTAGATCTAATTCTTATCAAAATTCTGTTGGAGAAAAATAGTTGATAAAAGGCTTTATTGATTTATTATAACCTTTTTCATCTGACGTTAGAAGTTGACTTGAGCCCCTATTGTCGTCTCGGATTTTTGATTAAAATGCTGCTTTTCTAAAGCATATACTTTACTTTCACACTTATTACGACGGTTTTTTAGCTGTTGGGGCCCATTTCGCAATGCGATATTCGATATCGCGGGTTGTATTCAACTTCAAATTAAGCAAACAAGTGTAAATGAGAGTGCTTATGCAAACAATTAGAATGATAAAGTGAAACTCGAGTTTTTTTCACAGAATGACCCATACTTTATTGGGAATAGTGTCAATTTCTAGTAAGAACTATTTATTTATTTTCTGCATTCATTTCATGTGAAAATTATCAAAAGGCTACTTAAGCCACTAATAAATGCCAATGCTCTAATGCATTTGAACGAAGTTTAGGAGAGGTCCAATCAAATGACAATATTGGGGAAAGATATTTGGGCTATTGCCTTCCAAACATCAACGGAGATACTATTATTTTATAAATGAAGCGCCAATTTCTCAGATTTACCAGTTTAAAAAGGCTGCTTGGGAAGAAACATCCTTTTTAAAATCAAATTGCTTTCTTACCATTCATTTGTCGTAGCAAATGGAATAGGAGAAGAACAGTGTATAAAGGGATTCTTGCCGTTATGTTATCCCAATGGGGATCCATAATTGATCGTATAATCCGAAATTTTAATGAAATTTCTTAACAGTCTTTCCATCAATTTGGATATGAGATTTCATAATTGTGAATCACTATCTTTGCACTCGAGGAGACAATTCTTGAACTCATTAGTGTATTGATAACTTGAAGAGTGCTTGAAAAGTTAAAAGCCTAGCGACCGCATTTGGGTGTTTATTTTCCGTTTTTTGTCAGAAGTAAGACTTGCATTCTCTATGAATAACATTATCAAAACAAGAGTTAGTAGCTTTCTCTATTCTTTTGACACTCGCACTGCCTAATTATCTAGAGCCACTTTTGCTCAAACGATGGTAAACTTTAAGGTTACCACTAAGTGTGACGAAAACTTTATGACTCATTTTTTTTTAAATGACGTAAATTAGTACTAACTATTCAAAGTCAAGAGATGACTTAGCAAGAATCCTAATTGGTTGACACGCACTCACAGTTATCTCATTAAGTTACAACTGTTAGCTCCTAAAATACCCTTAAATGGGCATGAATCAGCGAGACAAAACACGAGTTGAGAGTGAATTCTGACAGAGCTTCATCACTTTTACCATTTTTGCCATTTCTTCATCTAGAGAGAAGACGAAGCTGTACGAATAATTCAAAAGAATGCGGCCATCTACTTTGATCCCTGGGTCCGACTTTTCCTTGTTCTCAAACCCCATCTCAAGCACTTTAGGCTTGAAGAGGAAATAATTCAATTAAAGGTAAGTTCAGCAACCTATAGTAGGAACTTAGACTTAGATATCCATGAGTAATCAACTGTCATTTCCTTTAGGGTGAACTTGAAAAGTACAAAGCTATGGTCGACGTTCTGCGTTATGAAAATGTGGCCTACCAGGACAAGATATCACGTCTTCTTACCCTCGTATGCATTTGCTCTAATATCTTGGCCATAATAATAATAATAATGTTCAATTTATAACAATATTGCTAACTAATTGTAGTTGGATCAAATACAACCAGGAGGCACAAGCAGTGACCTTGTCAGCAAACTCGTGAAAGAAGTGAGTTCAACTCTAACCTTCTTCCTACTGTTTGTTTCTTGTATTCGGAGTTAATCCAGTTTTAAAATGTTTTAACTTTAATCCGCGTCGCAAGTTTTAAATGTTAATCTCCCCTTATAATTGAAATATTAGCTGTGGGAAGATTGGAACTTTTCCTTCTTTAGTACAGCAATGATTCTGTTAATATTTTCTAAATAAGTCAATAGTTAATTAAATTTTATAAGTTTTAATTGAGGGGACAAATTTATTGCAATATTTAATTGCATTTCCACTAATACTTCAGGATTCCCATAACGCTTCAAACTCACTGTTTATCTCAGCAAACTTCGTATTGTTTTTGAATGAAATGAGGTAATACATTTTAATGGAAACATGCATTAATCTTAGTCGAAATCTATTGAAAGGGGCATGATATCCATTTCAGAAATGCTCCTGATGGAAACAAACGAGGCGATGTGAAATTCATAACATTATTTATATCAAATGGCAGGCTTCATGACAGTTTCATTAGCCCTTTAGTTGACTTCAGGTTTCACAGAGGGAGAAGAACATTAAATCGAAAAAAGTCGAGAGGGGGGGGGAAATAGAAGAGTGTTTTAAAGATGTAAAAGAGACAGACACAAAGGTAGATGAAAGGTAAAGTGAGTACTGTGAAAGTGGTCGAATGTGACATGCAGTGGGGTCATGGTAGTTTGAAGTCAGAAGTCAGCTGCCGGTTTATAGACTTTTTGCCGCATGTTTGAAGTCAGAAGTCAGCTGCCGGTTTATAGACTTTTTGCCGCATGCCAGGGTGCACCTCGTGGAGGTAAGTCTATCGCACACCCCGAAATTCATATCATAATTTTATTTGAACCTATCGTCTTAATAAATATGAATGTTAGTTGTTTTTTATGATCGCAATACAAATGTGTTAAATTCACGAAAACCAATTCATAATTGAGTGACCAACAACAAACATTTGTCAACTAAAAACATAAATGTAATCTCACTTTCCTCCCTTGAAGTGCTCACTAAAACTATGTTTAACAAACGTTGATCTGTTTCTTAGACATCCATTTCATTTATTTTGCCATCACATTAATGATATGATCAAAGGCGCTGAAAAACGATCTGAGCTGTAAAATTTTTTAATGAAACATGGAATGAAAGTTTCATTCATTCATTAATTGTTGTCAAACTTTGGAGTGCATAGATAAAAGACGCATTATTTTCTTCAGTTATCAATGGCAGTTGCGGACCATCAAAAACAATGGAGATTAATGGTTGCGCAACTTCCAACTGGCGAAGTGAGTGGTGTTCCAGGTGGAATATCTGCTGTAATTGGGGAAAACAGTGAGTCTGAAGTCAATACAAAATCTATATTTTCATAAAATACCGATGTAAATATCTGCAATTTCTCCATTCATTTGTAGATGTAAGCTCCACAATAGATCCATTGACAGCGAATTCCTACAAGGTGGCAAAGGAGAATGCTGAATTTTATCGAGAACAATTGGAAATGTTGAGAGAAGATGTTGAAGCACAAAATGCCCGTATCAGTCAGCATTACGAAGAGAAGGCAAGCCCACATTGATTGCTTTATTTACTTCTTTTATTCGGTCAGAATTTGAATCTGAAATAGAATTGAAGTGGTCGATATTCCTTTCCTTTACGTAAAATTCATTTTACAACTCTGTCCTAGTATTTAGTCAGTGAGAAATTTTATCTCAAAGCATTTATTGTAGTAAAATATGTCTTTGTGGCACAGTGTAATTGAAAGCGCCAGACACAATTTGAATTTTCATTTTGACACAAAAATGATGAACCAAAACTCGTTAACTTGTGCGCATTCAGATTTTATTTCAAACTGATCAATAAAATTCATAATAAAGTGGAATTAGATAAGCATTTGTGTAATCTATAATTTTTTTTTCAAAGCAAAAGCTATCAATTCAGATATCTCAATAAACGAAGGTCTCAATATATTGATTTATCTATTAGCTGTTTACTAATAGGTCTCAGGAACAGTTTTAATTTTTGCTACATTTGTTGTTTTCAAGTTAGAAGGTTAAATTGTATTTCAACTCAGATGACATATTAATTATACCTCTGTTCCATTTTCAACCTTCATTTATTGCTCTTCAAAAGTCAAAGGTCTATTGTAGGGATAAGGTATATGGCTTACTAGTTATGTAATGGAAAAGCTTCTTCATGCAGATTTATCTGTCAATTAGTTGTGATCAATGGATATGATTGTTTATCGTCAAATTAAATTATCTTATCAGACACACCGGGAACTATAACTGTTGGTGCATATCTTATGGATTGAAAATTAGTTAGTTGAGTTAATTTGAGATGGTTTTTAGAGGTCGTTAAAAATAATTTATTTCTTCGGACATTTTAAATCATAAGCTTTGTGTTCATGCTATTATCGTGATAATTTCCCTCTTTCTCAAAAGAAGTGTATTTGGTTTCTTTTAATGCGCTTAATTAGCATAATTACTCGTACACCATGGTAGGTTTAATGCATTCTGACAATCACACAAAACTGTTGTGCTCATACAATTCTTAACTAAATGCTCGTAGACTAATCACGTGAGGTGGGAGTTTGAAAAATTGCTGAAACCTATTTTCCTAATTCATTATTTTAATCAAATTGATCCTGTAATAAAATTCACCTCATTTCCCACAAGAAAAGAATTCTTGAATTTTATAGCTTAAGGGTCACTCAAGACGCCTTTTGATGTAAGTCTGGCTTGACACTCGTGAAAATATTACGATCTGCAGGCTTTATGAGAAAACTGTTGATGGGCTCTCAACTAAATAATAAATAAATTGCGGATAGAATTTAACTAAGTTTAAATAAATTGCTGCTATTAGTATTGTTTCACATACTTATTACAAAGAGTCATGGCTCACTGCAAAGGAGAGCCAATTGGGTGAAAGTTTAAAGTCATGAAATAGCATCCAAATAGTCTAAGAAGTGTTTAAGGCAGTAGGCGGAGTGGGGTGGATGAATGAGTAAATTTTGCGCACCATAAAATTATCATTCATAATAAACAAAGCTTCTTATTTTAATCCTCCCAATGTTCAAAGTTCATGATATATTCCCAATTGAACCTTGAGTGAATTCATCCTGTTCGTTATTTGGAGCTTATTGGTTATATTGATTGGTTACTTCAGCTCTATTAAACAGATTTATTCGAAATTATATGAAAAATACATTCCTTCATAACTATACTTAATTTTTGCTTTACTTAGTTTAAATCTCCTTGAATTTCTTTTAAAATGACTTTATAAAACTGAAATTATTACACTATTCATATAGCTTACTCATGAATTCCCAACTAAATAGGCTTCACCAATTTGTGCTTATAAATCTTTTATACAGATTGGCGTACTATCAGAACGTGTAGAACAACTTCAAAATATGCTTACACAAGAGAGTTTCCGAGTGGAACGAATAAGTGGCGAACTGGAGACAGCAAACGGACAACTGGCTGAAGCACGTGATGCTGAGGATGAATTAACCAACATGGTTGAGAACCTCAAGGGCGAATTAAATCGATATCGCCTGGCCTCGGCAACCAGTGAAGCTAACACTCCCGGTGAACCAATGATTGTTGCCCAAAATATAGACAACACATTCGCATCTGCCCCGCTGCCACCAACATACGAATTAATAAATGACGTAAGTAGTAAATAACCTCTCTGGTGACCATATAAGCTCAAAAACAAATAGTGGCTATAATTTCTTCTTTAGAAACAGGTTGCTAATAACAGTGCTCTTAGAAGATTAAATGGAATTCGCACCTACTTGACAGAGAATCCCGAAGTCTATGAGACCCTAAAAGATACCCCATTGGGTCAGGGTGGAGAATACGATATTCTTTCAGCCACTGATAGAATGGGAAGCACTTCGATGGGCCTAGATGGCACACTAGGTCATTCAATGAACTCTGTATTCCACTCTCAATCGCATGTTGAGAACTACCATCTTGGAAGATCTCAAGAATTAGAGGCACGATATGAGGCACTTCAACAGAAGTTGGAAGATGAAGTTGGCTACAGGGAGGATCTTGAACTCGAAGCGCAGGAAATGAGAAATAAGATTTCAAACCTTCAAAGACAAGTCAGGAGACAGAGAGATGAGCACGAGGAGGAGATGGTGGAGAGAGACCAAGCTCATAGTAGACGTGTTAGGGAACTGGATGATATGGTTGATGAATTGACAAAGGAGAAACTGGGTCTGGAGAAACGATGCCTTGAACTCCAAAATAAATTTGAAGAACTTCGACAGACTCCTGATCAAAGTGATAGTGAGAGTGGTGAGCTATTACTTCTTAATTGCCTATTTTATGCAGATTCTATTTCACTTTGGTTAAAATCTCTCGTTTATCCTCTGCCATTAAGTTGAATAAAACGGATTCCCAAACTACGTGCCAGTAGCATTGTTACTGAAAACGAAGAATTGAAGTGAAGTGAGATGGAGATACGAATGAGCAGTATAGTATTATCATTTAAGTATTATGTGAGGTGAAAAGGAAATGGGGATAAGGTAGTATTGATAGAATTTCCTATTAGGAAGTCCTACCCGATTACATTGCCACAATTGTCATAAATTTAGCCTGTTTACCGAAAGGCAATTAGTACTCTTCCTATTATCATCTATTGCTATTATTTAGCTTCCATAGGCAGCTGATAAGAAACTATTATGCTTGAATCTCACTGAAGACTTAATTATATTAATTTTAGCCGAAGTTGGTCTTCGCGACGCTCAAGCCAAACTCACTGCAGAAAACCGCCAGTACCAAAAGGAATTGGACAAAATCAGGGAGGAATTCGAACAATACAAACGCGAAAACAATACCACAGAACTCAAAGATCAGGTCAGCAATCTGATAACAGAACTGAAATGAACTCGCAATTTAACGATATCTGACTCTCTCTTTTTTGAATAGTTGGTTGAAAAAGATGAGAAAATTTCCCAATTGGAAGTCAATCAGCGCCATATCAGTTCCGATATGGAGATACTCAATGTTAGATTACAAAACGCCAATAAACTTCTTGATGACGTAGGTTAATAGATCATGATCTATTAGATCATTTACAGGGAAAATAATTATGGATGTCTTAATTTTGGTTAGAATGAACAACGTCTACGCGGGTTGACCAAAGAACGCCAGGGTCTAATGCATCGTATCTCGCAACTGGAGAGTGAAAGAGACGCTGCAGTTCGTGAAGCTGCTTCTGCTGCTGGAAAAGCCGGTGCCGAAAGAGAAACAGCTGTGGCTCGTCAACGAGAGCTTGAGGATCTCAAGCACGAGCGTGCAGTCTACCAGAAGGATATGACAGACATGAAACTCCAATTGATGGAGACTAGCACAAAAGCTGAGACCGAGAAACACGCTCTTGAGAAACGTCTGGCAGATCTCGAAACTTCTTCTAGCAAGCGGGAAGCTGATCTCAAAGCAGAATTGGATATGAATAAAGAGAAGCTGGAGAATCTTCAACTGGAGCTCTCTGAGCTACACAAGGTTGAATCTGCCACTTCAACAGACAATCGTCATTTAAAAAGACAGATAAGGGAGCTACAGGATTCTGTGGAGAACTATATTCGAAGAGTCGGCGAACTAGAGCGTCGAAATTCAGATCTATCTGCAGAAGTTGAAAGAGCAAGAGCAAATCGTGAAGTCACGGCGTCTATGTTGAGGGATCGACAGTCTCTGGCCAGCGAGACTTATGAACAACTAGTAAGATCTTCAACACCAATTGGAGGTACGGATTCTGTGGAGTTTTCCGATGAAGACGTCTCAGATGGCGAAATTGAAGGTGAAGGTGGTTTGACTTCCTCAAACACAGATCTAAGACGGCGTAGTGGTCTGAATAGCACCCAAACCGTGGATAGATTTCGCAACAGAAGTCGACATGGGTAAGTTGGAAATAATTTTTTTAAATGACTGATAAATTGGATAAAGATGTAGATTTTATATGTAAATTAGAAATAAAGTAAATTGAATATGCACCTGGGTGGTCTAATTGAGTTATTTATTGGAAAAGATCAAAGAAATTAAATACAATGCTTAATTTATTTAGTTAAGTAAAAGCTGTCAAAAACGTAAGAAGACAAAGGCTATTTTGAAATATCATCAAAAGAGTACCTACAATGAATTCTCTTAGAGATGAGTAAACCAAAGACAAAGAAATTCATTGATCTATTGGTGAAAATTCTTAATTAAAGCAAACTTTTACGAGTTTGTTAAAAAATATGAATAGAGTTGCCGGAGGTGGACTAATTTACTCTACGAACACTAGAATGGTTAAAATAGAAAAAAGTGACCGAACAATGAACAACGTCTAAATCGTCTCCCGTCACTTGAAACACACAAATAGTAACATTCTTATTATATTATGATCTTATTTTTGTTAAAAATGAGATTTTTCTACTTTGCAGGCCTTCATCGCGTTCAGGATCCCGATCGAGCACATACAATCCTTCTCGTTCATTGTCTTCTTATAGACAATCTCCTCCGGTATTGTCCACATCAAAAGACAATTCCTCACCTCTTCCGCCTCTATCAGCCACTCTAGCAAGGCAGGCCGAATTGCTACCACAAACGACAGCCAGCCAACAGCAACAAAACGATCAACCCCAACAGTCAGCACCTAGTAATTGAAAAAATTAACTGGTGGCATCTATAGATACACATATATACCACTACTTAGTCTAAAAGTACCCCCTATCATATCCATTCCATTATCCTGAATCGCTTTTGTGATTCCCACCAATGTGCTTCAAAGAAACCCCTCTCTTATATTAACCATTGTGATTTATTTCACACAAATTTAATCTCCTAAGTTTGAATTATTGCCTCGTGCTATTGACCTTGTGGGAAGTGCTTTCTAAAGGCATCTTTACTATTGTTGCAAATTATATATGTAGTGCATGCAAATTTGAAACGGATAAATAATTAATTAAAGAAAATAGGGCCGACAATTAGAGCACCAGTGGTGAGAAAACGCAACAATTTGTTCTTTGTATGTAGTCGTGTGCAGTCTACGAGTTCGCTTGTTGCCTATGCTCTTTCAAGAACGATATCGCTGTTCTAATTGGTCGGTTAGGGCTTTTGCGTAGTGCTCTACCACACAAAATTTGATAGAACGTTCTTACTGGAGGCAAATCAAGTAATTTTGGTTAATTGAACGTAGATCATTGTCTGTCTCCGTTTTTTCTTGTCCTGTACCTTCAAGTGAAGTCTAGTCGCTGCTACATTACTGACTATCAAAATCGTTCAAACTCTAGTTACTTAAAGTTAAATAAGTAGTTATTTTGAAATTCCAAAACTGATTTACTCAACTCGCAGCTCCTCTACAGGGTCCCAAAGAAAAGAAAAGCCTTTGAAGAAATAAGGTTAAAAGTCTTCATTTGTATAAATTTAATATGTCTGAAGCATCCGATTTCAAAACAAAGTTCAATTCATTATACTAAACGTTCTGTTTTTGGTATGTTTTTCCGAGTCATATTTTTGTATGACTTAACTCTAAGCAGAAAAGCAAACTTATTGAGAAAATTTTCATTATATTTACTTATCTACCCAATATTCAAACCGATTATCGACCATGACTGCCTAGATTAGTAAAAACGGGTTATAGACTCATTTGGCAAATATCGGCTTTCAATGAAAGAATAATGAAACAGTTGAGTTAATTCCCTTTAAATGCTGGCTGCAACCAGCCTCAAAGCTGCGGCCGTGCTAATTGACGATTGGGCAGCAAGAGCGGTTTTGAGCACGAAGACCTCTCAGTCGATCAACAATTCATTAGCCCTGCATTGTTTAACAAACTGGACTGAATCGTTTTAACTAAGCAAAATATGGATAATTAAAGAAGTTATATTAAGGCCATCTTAAAACGTTATAAAGGGCTTTAGTCTAAGCTGTTAAAAAATTATTTTGGTTTGAATATTACTTTTATCCTACTTTATGCTTCGTCGAAAAGGATCCCCATATGGAGTTGATCAGCTTGGTTAAAATTCTGGATCTCTGCCAAAAAGGCAACGAAATCAATATCGGTTTCAATAATATACTTACATAACGCGATTTAAATAGTGTTAGTGAGTGAAATAGGAGAATACTCATAAATCACATTAACGGTTATTGGAGTGCACAACGCCACCAAAAAAGTTGACCAAAGACATTTTACTCTCATTAGATCACTCCAGAGGCTTCAGCGCGTTGTGAGCAGTCGTGATATTGGGTGCAGAAATCTCTCAAACCAATTAGTCATCAACGACCCTCACAACGTACAGTAACACTAATTGTGGTTAATGTGACGGTATACACAGTAATAAACGCTCTACCCCTAGTATATGTTTTGATTTCTCATTTTGCGTTAATGTGGTGGAAATAATTTTAGAAGCAATTTTATGCTTGAAGTTTTTTTTCCCAAAAGGTAGTTGTATTGGTCTATAATTAGTCGAAGTGTTGTGGTTTAGTCAGGGATTACTAGAGAGATGAGAAATGTATTTCCACTCTACTATACTTAATAGTAACTTAAAGTTTATTTCAGAAGTAAATATCATTCCAAAATGCACATAAATGTACTTGTAAAAAATAATCCTAGTCGTCATACCTCCAAAATAACAAATTTCTGCATAAAATATTTTATTTATTGTTATATTAATTGCAAATTAGGGCCAAAATAACCAAGAGGAGGGTGTAGCGGATTGCTACTTTATTAAAGTCTGTCTGACTCAGAAATCTCTATGGCAGATCCTCCTACATCTAGTTAGACTCCCAGAACCAGCTAAGCTATAGCCCAGCTATAAAGGAAACAGACGTGTATCACGGAGCACGTTTATTCAGGACGTATCTTGCGGATAAGTGTACACGCAGGGCGCTACTCATGATCAGGATGGGGGATTAGGTTGAACAGAGGTTGATGATTGGTCACTGTTTGTACGGTCGATGCACACAGAGTTGTACGGCCGCACCTCCCAAGCCTGGTGAGCAGACATGCAGGCATGCTATGACGCACACAGCGATAATATGTAACACAAGGGCATTTTCCAGATTTAAACAAAATATTTTAAACGAAATAGTTGCTAAGTTTCTATTTTCAACCATCTTAGAAATAAATAAATACATTCATAAATATACATCTAAATCGATGAATGCTTTTAAGACTGCCTTCATTGTTCAGAATATTACCCAAGTCTTGGTGGCATTCATGACCAAGTAAGCTGAAATTCAGTCGGATGTAGAAAACTCCATA